GTGTGTGTGTGTGTGTGTGTGTGTGTGTGTGTGTGTGTGTGTGTGTGTGTGTGTGTGTGTGTGTGTGTGTGTGTATGTGTATATTGTGTGTGTGTGGATCGCATGCTGTGTCTACCTGAACATCAGGCCGCAGAAAACACAGAGAAGACAAACGCCATAGCCGCGCATCCCGTCAACAAAAGAATTCCCCGCGATAACAGCGAGAGCGACTAAAAAACAAAATCCAAAAATAGGAACCCAAAACTGCCCTCGATCACTGACTGGAGCGACGGGCACTGGTCCACACCTTATACTTGTCCCTTCCACCACGGCCAATAGATGCCATGCCACACACAACACTTTGCGACATCCAACTGGACGGTTGGGACAGGCCTACCACATGTCACATGAGCGCCAGCTTACTATACTCCGACGTGGGCCCATGAATGCATTCCTGGATATATGTGGTTGAGGTGACTGAGTGCACCTTTCTGTACATATCAACGAACACGTCCCCATCCATCCAGGCGTTCAAGAAACTCTACGTTGCTACCCGCCACTCCATGGGACTTCGCCCAAGCCTCCATTCCGGCCACATTTACCACAAACGTTACGCAGGCCCCCACCAGGAAAGAGGGTTGGATACTATACTGTGTACCAAGGCATGTTCCATGCGTAGATACACAAACGCATAGATACAAAAACGCAGATCACTCGCTATGCTCTGCACCTATTGACAAACACGCCCAGATTCGTATAAGCAGACGAGTAACACAACCACACACCCACAACCATATACGCATCTGACGCTCCACAGCGCCCCTGTTCATTCAGCATGGCTTTTGCCTGCTTTTCCAGTCCAAATTCACAGGTACCCCGGGGGCTAGGTCCCACTAGGAAATCAAATTTTATTTTATTTATTTATTATTATTATTGTTTTTAAAATAAGGAAATCGAATTCCATTGCACCGTGGAGAGATGTAGAAAATCGGGATTGAACTGCTTGTCTGCATCTCTTCGCAAAACGCGTCCGAGTCCAGATCCAGGAGCTTAATATGTCTGACATTGACGAACTTGTCTGCACCTTCGCAGGAGATGGAAATGTTCCCTGCCGTGCCAGAAATTATTAGTGATGCGGGTTCGCCGGCAAGTCCCACATCGTTGTAGCCAGCCACACCGATACAAAAGTGGTAGCCAGCCACAACAATAATCGAGGCCTCCATAAATATTCTGCTAGTGAGTGAAAAAAAAGCCGGCTAACGCAGCGGTAACGCTGCGTTAGCGCGTCGTCACTACGGTGCGCAGGCAGTGGGGGATCGCACGGGGGTAGCTGTCATTAAGCTAGGCCTAGCCAGAGCTTGCTGTTGGGTATGGCGGAGGCGGTGGGGTGATAGAGCGTGAGGGCGCTGAGGTGGAGGCCGCTTTGAGGGGGCACTACCATGCACCTGCCATAGCCAGTCTTGGTCAACGATTGTTGGTAATCCTGGATTGACCGTGAGAGGAAGGGAGAAATGTGGGGACGGTCAACGGGCAGGATCTGCGCACCGTGTATATTAGAATTATGACCCGATCAGGGGCTTCGCCCGCTGATTGCAGATACGTAACTACGATGTAACTACTATTGTGTTGTGATGGCGGACGCGATTTCATGCGAGTGAAGACCTGGAGACGAAAGAGGAGAGTGCATCAACAAACGTCGACTTCCGGGAGAATAGATAATGGATCTTTCGCTGCGATTGGTATCGCCCAGAGTTGTTGGCGAATTGCTAACACGGGCTTCAGCCTTGATCAGGGTTTGTCCACTCTAGCTGCTACTCCTGCTTCGGTCGTGGTGCTGCTCGCGACCTCCCAGTCTTGGATCTTTGACGAGGCTATTGCTTCTGTTTATGAACAACACGACTGATAGATTAATTACTAGGTATATAGGGTTGGATGGTTGGATACTGCTCATAGGTGATTATGGAGTTTGCAGTGATGATGTGGCGGCTGCTTCTGTCTTATTTTTCTTGGTTGGTGGACGTGGCGGATTCGTTTAAGAACTTGGATCGTGGAACGGAGATAGTGAGGCAACCTTGTCCTTCGATAGATCAGCTATTGGCAGTTACTCCTTTCTCTAAAGCGACGGTGAGTGGAAAAAGTCGAAGTCGATGGGCTTTTGTCAACCTGAGGAGTCTTCACTTTGGGACGATCGATTGAGAGCTCATCCTCAACTTGTTGGATCACCTCTTGTTCCTTAATGCTATCCGTGATAGTTTTCTGGAGTTGCGCTTGCTTCTTGACGCCTGAGCAGTAGATATTGTTTGATGGATAGACAGGGGTTGAGTAAATTTAGTTTTGGGTTGGTTAGGGTTTGAGTAAATTTCGAGTAAATTTCGATTGATTTTGATATCTTTACTAATTCTTGAGTTTTGCGTGCTTCTTGATGGTGTATTGATGGCGAATAGGGCTTGAGTATTAGATAGGGTTCGATTGTTACTTTTCGTTGTATATAGGCATGACTCTTTTGGCTTTGTTTTTTTGAAGCAACTTGGGACAGTGTGGGGGGGGGGGGCGTGGTCTCGGTAGCTAGATGGCTGTGGTTAGGGATAGGATTGGCCGGGAATGCCTTTCTTAGCCCAGAATGGCTGCAGCATCTATGTGAGGGACACCGGGCCCGTTTCCCAGTTCTTTAATGAAGTTGCATGTTTTGGTTAAAAAAAGAAGAGGAGGTTTTAAAATAAAATAAAATAAAATAAAATAATCGAGGCCTCCACCACCAAGAACCGCCCAGACCACCTCCGAAGGGAAGGTGTTTTCGCGCCTGCGCCGCAACGCCCTTAGGTATTTGTGCATCGACGATACACTATGACTGCCCAGAGTCACCCAAAGTCGCACGGCGTCGCACCGTGGGTAGATAGCTATCATAAGATGCTGGTGGGACCTAGCCCCTGTACGTGCAAAGGATACCAAAATCTTTTTTTTTTTTTTTTTTTTTTGGAGAAACATAGTACTTTTTATTCCAAATGAGACCACCGGGGCCTGGGAACACACCCCTACATATCAACCCGGTACAAACTTGCTGAGGTCATTACTCAGCTTAGGCTCCTGGAAACCGGGTCCAGTGTCCCTTAGAGGAATCTCCAAAAAAAGAAAAAAAAAAAGGAAAAATTGCAGGGCAAATCTATATCAGTATAATATCATTGCTACTCGGGGAGGTGCCGACATGTTTCTAAAATCAAAACACTATTGGCAACAGAACTATGAGCTATAAACTGCAAATCTCGAGAATGCACGAGGGAATTCGCCGCACTGCACAGCACTCTAGATGGGAAAAAGCCAACGGCCACAGCTTTCAAGAGTGCTGCCCTAATTATGGGCATCGCCGCACTGCACAGCACTCTAGATGCATTCCGACGAGTCCAACATTTTGAATGTGCTGGGCGGAGAAAACGTCTAAATGCATGCGAAGTGCTGTGTAGTGCAGCGAGCCGAGGGACGAAACATAAGATTTTTATTTTTTACTTTTTGCATGTCCCTGCGCAAGTTGTACAAGGGTAAAAAAGCCCCACGGCATATTCAGCCGCTTGTGGTACACCCATGAACTGTCTTTATGCACACCTGATCGAGCATTCCCCCACAACCCCCCCCCTCCCCCTTCTCATCCTCCCGGAAAATATTGCAATCCGGAAAGGGCATCCGGACATGTCCGGTTCCCCCCCAAGAATATGTAGCCTTCGGGTCCGGCGTAGCTATGTTTTTTTGTCTTCTTCTTCTTCGACTTTTCTTATCGTCTGCCCAACTTCTTCCTCCCTCCGCCCTCTCTCCACCCTTCTTCCTCCTCCTCCCTTCCTTCTTCCTCCTCCTTCCTCCCTCCGCCCAAGCTCTGGCCGACCGCCTTCCCCTCTGCTTCCTTCCTCCGCTCGACCTCCTCTTTTGATCGTTCCCTCCATCCCTCCATTCACCTGCCTAATTCGTCCGCCCTCCCTTCATCAGCCTACCTCCGTCCAACCTCCTCCCCACTTCTCCCTCCACACGATCGCTTTCCTCCCGTCTTCGTCCCTCCTTCCCCTCCCTCCGGCTGACCTCTGCCCAACTTCCGCCTCACCTCCTCCATGTCTCTTCCGCCTGCCTTCTGCCTTTCCTCCCTCCAACCGCCGTCCTTACCTCCTCACGACTTCTTTCCTACCTCTGCGACCTCCTCTGTCCCCCCTCCATCCGTCCAGCTACCGCCTCCCTCCCTCCTTCCTCCCCCCTCCCTCCGTCCTCCTCTCCTGCCCCTCTCAGCCCGACCTCCGCGACCTCCTCCCTCTCTCCACCTGACCTTCGCGCGACCACCTTCCCCCTTCCTTCCCCCCTCCTTCCTCCGTCCTGCATCTATCTACCTGACCTCTTTCCCCCCAGCTTCCCAAATCTTTCCCCACTTCCGTTCCCCATCCTTCCTTAATCCGCTTGATCCTCCTCTTTCCCTCCGCCTGATCTCCGTCCAACCTCACGTCCATTCGACCTGCGCCCTCTGCCCCTTCTTCCTCCCTCCGCGACGTCTCCCTCCATCCGCTTGAGCTCTGCGCGACCTGCGTCCTCCCTCCATTCGACCCTCGCTCAACCTCCTTGTCCACCTTCGGGGGGGGTTAGAGAGAGAGAGAGAGAGAGAGAGAGAGAGAGAGAGAGAGAGAGAGAGAGAGAGAGAGAGAGAGCTCCCGCCGCCCCATTGTCCACCTTTCACAACCTTTTTTTCCTTCCTCCACCACTGGCCTTCTCCTCCTCTGTCCCTGGGCACCACGCCACGATGAGAGAGAAACAGAGAGAGAGAGAGAGAGAGAGAGAGAGAGAGAGAGAGAGAGAGAGAGAGAGAGAGAGAGAGAGAGAGAGAGAGAGAGAGAGACAGCTCCCACCCAACGTCCCTT